TTTTACGAGGATAAAAATGCTTCCAAAAGGCTTTTTGAGCTGGTTCTATTCTCAATCAATGTTCAACTGCAGAGGTTCTGTGGGAAGGTGATGACATGTTTTTTTCTGGCAAAATAATCATTTCCAAACCCAGGAGATTATTTGGGGGCAAGTATATCCTCCTATGAGCTACAGAAAATGTGCACATCATATGAGCACAGAAACAATATTCCACAGGGATTAGGAAGATACCCTTTGGAGTTAATCAGACTTTGTTTCTAGTTCTAGGCACCACCATTTTTCATATGTAATTGAATAATTATTATAATTATTATTCACTTATGAATTATAATTTATCAATATAATTATAAAGAATAATGAATGTACTTAACACTAAATATCTGGGTACCTTGAAATTATCCATTTAAATAATTAAAGTTTACATTTGATTTCAATGTGGAGTCATTTTATTTATTCATATATGGATTTGGCAACAACTTTCTAAGCATTGAGGAACTTATGGGAGATTTCCCAATCAACATGATCACCCCAATATAAAGGCTTGCTTGCATTGCATGAGATCCAAAACATATTTCTAAAGAAACCCATAGTAGATTTGCTCTATTTTTCTTTATACCATTAACACATGGAGCAACATAAAATTAGTTCTTGGTAAGACAAAGGCTGTCTCTCCGCATATGAAGTGGGGAGATTGGAACATTTTATATGTACCCTTCTACATGAGTAGTCCCTTGGAGTAGTGATCAATAGAGAAAACATTTTTATTACCAGACAACATCTATAGAATGCTTCTTTTATGCCTACACTGTAGAAGAAGAATTGGATAGTTATGCTCTTGTTCTCAAGGAATTTAAAATTTAACATATAATTGATATAGCCTTTGTATATAGTCAGTACAAGTGAGGTCTCAACTTGGAATTCTTAAAATATGTATTTTCTTGTTACATGTAAAAAGTTAGCAACCTCAAATCATGTGTGTGTGTTGGATGTGTGTCAGCAATTGTGTGTGTGCATGTGCGTATGGAATGGAACGAATTATAAAATTATTCATAATTTTAGTGGAAAATTCAACTGTGAGCTACGACAGCATTATTTGACAATTCAGACAATGCATCATAAATTAGTAGTCAGACAGTAATGCTAACTTTTTCTAGCATTTGCCTCTCCACTGGAGAAGTGATAGCTATGCTAACAACATTAGTGCATATCCCTTACCCCACACCTACTCCTTGTCCTGGTATCTCTATTTCTGCTGACAGTATCTCCAACCTATTAATTAGGCTTTAAAACCTTGCAAACTCCTCTCCCTTGATAACTTTCCCCACTTGAAATTCATTGCCAAGTTTCGCTAATTCTACCCATTGTGGTGACTTCCAGTCTGTTGGCATTTCTCAGTATCGGCTGCCTGGTGCCTCTCGCCTGTACAATCACAGAGACTTCCCAACCGGTGTCTCAGCCCCACTTTTCCTCTTCCCCATACTGACTGTCCCCAGCGCATGCCAACACTCTAATGCTAGACCACTGCTTATAATGCACAAAACTGACTTTGCCATCCTGTTCGAAACCACATTGCTCTCAAAATAAAGTCCAAACTCACCACTGAGGCATAAAAAATGACCATAAACTATTTCCAGTCTTATTCTGACTGCTTTCCGCCTGCCTCATACTCTCTAAAATTCAGCCAGACTACTCAACACTCTCTGTAGAAATCTTGCACTTTTCACCTAGAATCACATTCTCTCTTCTATTTATAATGTCAAACGCCTGTCTTCCATGAAGATTCCAATCACACTTCCCCACCCCACACTCACACTTAGATCAGAACCAATTTCATAATCCCTGGGCCTCCCATGGCGATTTGTTATTCTCTCTAGTAGAAAGATCACCTGCATTGGTATCCCAATGGATTTCTCGTTCTGTACCGTAAGCTCCCTGAGAGCAGAGACCATGTTTCATCCACTGCTTTATACCCACTTAGGGAGAGCATTTGACAAGTTCCTAGCACCCCAAAGGAGTGTAGTAAACATTAGTGGAAGTAAATGCTCCTGGAGGCATAGGGATGGTCTCGGTGACCTCTGAAACGCCCCTACTGCCATGGTGTCTTCCGTAGACCCTGGTGGTACCAGGCCTGTATCTGTCCCGGCCTCAAACCTACCCGAATCTGCTTAGTAACACAGCTCTATTTCAATGCCCAAATGTATACAAGGCAAAATGCATGGTTTAATCATTCTAGAAGAAATAGGTACCCCTTTTCAGAGCACTCTTCCAAAACTAACCCTAGTGACAGTATGTCACCCTGAACCCAAGAAAATGAGACTTTAGCTGAATTTAGGAATATGTACATAATCTAATAACGTAATAAACAAAGGAATCCTCATGGTACAACATAGAAGAGTTACCTAGATTTGAAACCTGGCTCTGCCACTTTCCCTAGTAGTAGACCCTGGGCAATTACTTAACCCTGCTGAGTTTCAGTGTCTTCTTCAGCAACATGAAAATACAAAAACCTGAGAGATAGTCTGTGTTATGGGTGGTGCATATTAGATGCTTCATAAGCATTCACATGCTCCTTTACTCTTCAAACTGAGTGTTATCATGTGGGTCAGCCCAGAATGAAGGAGCCCAGGCTCTGGAGTTAAACCTGGCACCAGCACTAGTCTCTGAACCTCCATTTCTTCATCTGCAAAACAGAGATAAGAAAGACTACTTGTTTTGAAAATATGAAAATATGCTTGACGCTTCTCTTATCCAAGCACAGAACTTAAAGTCTACTGAATTGTATTTTTAACCATTCGGGGGAGGGCCAGCACTGACGGGCTCACTCTGAGCCAGTCATTTTAAGACCAGTGCTACACAACTGGGAGAAGGCTAATCGGGTCGGAAGGTAATTCTGCTCTGTGAATATGGAACAAAGAAAAGCTAACTGACCCATACGGGGAAGTCACAGATTATTAGTTTTTAAGAAACTTTACATATTGCAGGGGAGTTTCAGATTGATCTTGAAGCCTAGAAATTGTGTGCTGAGTAGGAGTGGATGGGGGTCACACAATGTTTATGTAAATCGTTTTATGGACAGGACAAGTGACATTTGTTGCCAGAACCTTTGGGGAGGATTGGTTCTATAAACAGGCATAAAAGGACTCAGTAGTATCAGGTATAGGGAGGAATGACAAAGGAGTGAGGTCATTGTGTTTCCTTCTCTTCCCTGGAAAAAGTAAGTATGGTGGATTTCCTACAAGCCCCAAAATACATGACCCATATAAGGCAGGTTGGCCCTAGGAGTGTGCCCATAGGAAAGTGTCAGCCCAATTTGCTATAAATCTTTACCTTTGGGCTTCCTTGTCTTCAGCCTCCAAAGAATAATGTACATAAATATAAAGGACCTTGAATAGACATGAGGATGTACCAGGGTCACAGGAGTTTCAGCATATATTCTGATTTTGGTACAAGGCAATAAATTCTTCTCATCTAAGGCCAGAATGACAATTAGTTCTTGGTGAAGTGAGAGATGATTTATTCAGCCCTCCCTCAAGTCCCACTGTGCCATATGATTTCAGCAACTCTGTTTTTCCATGTTTATGTGATCTTTCATAGTTAGAACAAAATGGGGTAAAAGAATGGGGACTGTGACATGCATGTTTTGCTTTCTGTATCCATGTGGATCTTATGAGGTTCCAGTACCAGGAAATTGACCAGCAAACAGTAAAATAGGTTTTTATATCCAAGGCTCACTCATTGTTCCTCTTGGTACTGTCAGATCTCTCTATTTAATGTCCTAGACCTCAAAGAAAAGTGCCTTGGAGAAGAAAAAAAGAAAAAAGGGGGAATAATAACATGACCTGTTGCCCAAAATGAACACACAAGCACAGATCACTTTTCAAAATGTCCATGATTTCAGAACATAAATGCAGACACACCCTTAAAAGAAGCATTAGAAAGGAGAAAAACTGGCCAGCTTCCCGAATCTCCCTGAATCCAATTGGACTGGGTGATGACCGAGATCAAAGGCGCGCGCTGATTGGACAGAGGGCCGGGAGGAACTGGCATCTTCAGGGCTGCTGGAAACCGGCCAACTCAACCACACCAAGCAAAAGCAAACGGAAAGTAAACACGGGTGAATAATCTAATGCACATGGGGGTACCCTTCACAAAATGCGAAGCTTGTGTGCTCCCGAAGGACGAAGTTCCAACTTGTCAACCGCGTACACTCAAAGGCAAAATCAAAACACAGAACATCCCCCTTTCCAACCTAGAGCGTGAACCGTTGGCTTCTACTTTAGGGAGAATGGACAAAAATGACCTCTTTGTCACGGAACCCACCACGTTCCCCGCCCTCCCCTAAGTAACTTTGTTTCTTGTCTTGTCTCTAAGAAAAATGAGATTTTTCAAATTTGGGGGCAAGTGCTCCTAGCTCTGCTGTTTATGATGCCGTTGGTGGAAGGCCGCCCAGGGACGTGATTGTCTGGTATACCATCCTGTCCGTGGCGCCTTGGCATCTCTGATGAAAAATACTGATAAGATCGCTGCCCTGACTTCAGGGAGAGCGTCCACGCAGGCACCAAATGCCCTTTGCACCACTAGCACCTGCCTTCCATGAACTCTTTTTATTACCTGCGCGTAACCGTGAAAGAGATTAGTTTAGGGTCCCGTTCCCCTCCACGAACACTTCCCAAGCCCCACACCCTCTTAGAAGCATAGAACAAAGATTACTTACAATTTCTTTCCTGCAGGTTCAGAGCATACAGAGGGATAGCATCAGAATGGGGGCTTTGGACAGAGAAAACCCTGGAAAGGAATAAAGATATGAAGTGAGAGAAACAAAGAAAGACATTCTTTGCTAACACGATACCCTTTAAAAAGAACATATGGATTGCATTCTCGTAGAGGAAAACGTACAGTCAAACACAACAGCATTCAAGGGATTTCCTCCTACCAAATTGTCTCCGGTCCCTTAATCGTGTTTAAGCCTCGCTGAGTACTTTGTGTACGGTCCCTAGGAGAGTGATTTGCATCCCCCTGTCTGGGTGGCTGTCGGTGGGGACCGGCAGCTGTCTCAGTCCAACTCTGGCTGGGGAAGGTAAGAGATCTTTGCCTCGCTCTTTGAGAGATCCAGGAGGGAAATGTGGAATGCTTATGAGGTTGGGGCTGGGGCGCATAGACATAATTCATACATTGAAGACTTTCAGAAGAGTTCTCCAAACTTAAAGGAGTCTCCTAAAGCCACGTACTTTATAACGAAGAAATAGAGAGATTTCCTCTCTCTGCTGAAAAGACTTCCAGAAATAAGGCTGGTTGCATGTGGAGGAAATGTTGCACTTGGGGGCAGGTGTCCCTGAAGGGATCCCCAGGGGTGTCTATCTGCTCCTAGGCATAGAGTGGGAGGAGGAATAAACGTCCAAAGGCATCAGGCATACATTACTAGGAATTCTCTTTGAATTTCCATTTGCAGAAGTAAAGTCAGTTAAAGCCTGCCTGTGTCTGTGGTTATAATAACAGGTATTTTCTGATACAATTTCCACTTTATCTCAAATCTTTATACTTCTTTGAATTTATCAATAGAAATCATCGGTTGTCTACTTAAGAGTTCAGAGATGTGTATCTGTGTATGTAGGCAGAGGCAGATACAGGAGAATTTGGGTGAAGGAGAATTAGGGTGAGTCACCTGAAGCCTGGCAAGGCTGAAGAAGAGAGCTTTGCTGTTAGAAGTAATGACAGACCTGCCCACACTCCCGGGGCACAGATAAATTTCACTGTGCCTCATTATTGATTCAGCCAAGGGCTCCTCTCAAGTGGTTCCATTCATTTATCTTTAGCTTTGGTAACAGGGAAGCATGATTTTCAACAGAACAAGGTGATACTCAGAGCTTAGGTGGGATAATTGACCTCATTTTGGGGGAAAGTAGCCCATACTAGGAAGCAGAGCAGAATTGCCCCCGAAGGCCAGAGTTCACAGGTGGGAAGATTGCTCTTTTAAAGAGTTTCTCAAGAACCTCCAGTTTTTGTAGCCAGTGGCTCCCAATCTCCTTGTCTTCCTGGGGCAATTTTAGCAAGTTCTGAGATGCCCTGGTTCTAAGTATCCCTGATCTTCATAGCCAAGTGACAGCACTCCTCGGGCATGCTGGCTCTGTCCCTTTAGGTGCCACATTTTAAGAGCGTGAGGATGGTGACTGAGACCCTCCAGGTACTTGTCACAGGCTCGGCTCACCTAACTCAGCCAGGCTTCAGGGATTTTTCAACTTTAGTTTCTGAAATGACGAAGCCTTATCTCTGGCTTTCATTCTAGAAGAAAAGGACTTCTGATCGCTCTTCCTCTGGGACAAAATCGCCATGGCATCGTTACTAGATGAGGCTGGAAAGAATGTGCTATTGTAAAATGTAAGTAAAATGCTTGAGAACATCCAAGCCCTTTGCCAGCAGTTAGAGAAATCTAACCATCTGAAACAAGGAAAACAAATCTCTTCCAAGATTTCATTTGGACATGTAGATTCACTGTATTAATTAAAAGGCGTTATTAACACTTGTACAGATTAAAAAATAGGGGGTGGATAACTTTCAACTACAAAAGTATAGAACAAACTTGTAATAGTCTCCCAGTATTCATATTCTTTCCTCAAAAAGACAGTCTGGGACTTTATGTATTTCGAATACTTTAAAATTTCATATAGCTTGTCTGTAAGAAAGCACAACTCTATAAGACCATGTATTGAGGTGGGGAATAGACTTGCAACTTTATTGTTTGAGAGTACGATGTGTCAATGTGACCTATGTTTGAATGTTTAAAATACCTCGCTCCTTAAAGTGGGTTGGGAGCTTGTTGCAGACTGAATCAGAATCTACATTTAACAAGCTCCACAGGTGATTTATGTATCCATTAAAGACTAGGGTTCAAACCTAGGGTTTCTTTCCTACTGTGTGACCTTTGTCAGATTACTTAACCTCTCTGAGCCTCTGTTACTTTATTTTGTAGTAAACTAGTGAGAATTAATGGTAGCATTCGTTTAATACGGTGCCATGCCCACGGTATTCATAGGTACTCTGTAAATGGCAGCAATGATGATGACCAAGCATTGCCCAAGTTACTAACCTCCTAGTATAAGCTGTCAGCAGTTCTGTTTAAATCAAGATGACTAGTTTTCCCCTTTAACCAGAAACATCTGTGTCCCCCATCCTCCTTCCTAAATAAATTAACATCAAACAAGTGGGATTTTTAAGTGTCATATGACCATCACACACATGACAGGGAAAACCTAGGAATATGGATTTTTGCTGGCTTAGAGGCTGAGTTCAGCTGCCCGGTGACTTCACAGCTGTTCCTGCCGCCCTAGCGTGTCTGTCCCCTCGGCTCTGTCCCCTCAGCTGGGCCTGCAACGCTGACTCTGGGATTTTCTTATAAAAATGCCTGATGGACGGGAGGAAGATCTGGAGGTTGGCTGGGGAAAAAATGAGTCATTCAAATTCACAAAGCAGTCTGCTTGGTAAATGCTGCGAGAGAAATAAAAGTAAAAGCTGGCTCCTATCTCTAGAGACTCCGTAGAAATGATTCCGACTTATCATGTCACTGAGCAGAGTTGGGGGAAGCCAAAATCTGCTGGCAAGGAAAAGAACGGAGGGGAAAAAAAAATGTCAGGGAGGGGCAAACCCGAGGGGGAGGGAATAAAAAGAGAGAGGGAGGGAGAGACAGGCGTCATTTAGGAACAGAGGTTAGCCTGAAAGAAGCAAAGAGCTCCGGATCCCAAAACCAGCCCACGTAGTAAAGTATTTTTACATCTTTTCTTTTCCCCAGAAGAGATCCCTGACCTGTCATTTTATTGACAGCCGGGCTGTTCCAGGCTCTTTCCCAGAAGTTGAACGAAGAAGCTCCTGTTGCTGTTTTTTTTTCCTTCCAAGTCCAGTGGTTTCCCTGGTAATGGATTGCCTCTCTCCGAGGTACGTGCAAGTTGTCTGGGGGGAGATCTTCGTTTTCAGATTAGCTCAATCACAGCTTTGGGGTGAAGTTGTTTTCTATTTCAGACATAATTTCAAATATCCTTTAACGGGCTTAGCCAGTATTTAGGGTATCACTGAACAACAGTGATTAATTTGTTTGGTGATTAAAAATGGCACGTAAGTAGACAGCCCTAATATTTAGTTTCATTGCTCAGGGAGTGATATTTTGACCTGCCAGGGTGGGAGGAGAACCAGTGAGGGTTGATTTGGGGTCGAATTTGTTTGCAGTAGATGCTTACTATATTCAAAGAGTTAATCTCATTGAAATGGTCTCAAGTATCTTCTTTTAAACTCTTGTGGTAACTGTAACTGCTTAACTATTCAGCAACTAGACAGCTTCTTGAGACTGGAAGACAGGGACTTAACATGTCTGAGCAGCAGACAAGACTTGTCACTGATTTCTCCTAGACAGCATTTCAACCAAATGCTTTTGATCGAATGTCTCATGTTTTGTCCTGAAATTTTCAGGTTCGAAGTATTTAGGAAGGGGCATAGCAACAAGTTTTAAACACAAGGGCATGAAGAAAAATGAATTTGCAAAATTTTGCTAAAAGTCTAGCATGCTTATTTGTTTAAGCATGCCATAGTATACATAATATCAAAATTCCCTGTTGATTAATAGAAAATTTGTGAATTAACAACTAATTGTCCTAGCACTTGACTTTATTTTTAACAGGACAAAGCACAAAGTTATATCCTATGAAGTTGTTGAATATTTTTTTCTTCTTTTTCTCTTTTCAAATGAATATTGTCACATTTCAGATCACAAATCCTCACCTCATTGTCAATGAGTATTTTGCTGAACTGCCCGCCCACAATGGGGGACTAGAAAGGTCCCAGGGCACAGGTGTTTAATAGTAACACGATGGACTTGTTGGCCATCGGTTGATGGAGAACATAGTTCGTTGCTGGCTACTTGTCTTGACATGGATTTTGTGGGCAGTGGATGGGTGATAGTTTGGAAAGAATGCATGTTATGCCCGACAAGACTGGCAGAGTCTAAGTTGCTATGAGTTGTGGAACTAACTATGCGAAATAATTGTTCATGACATATTCTCTTGAAACGAGGCTGTCTTTGGATTAGGATTCAGGCTTTTCTGTGTGTTTAGGGGAAAGAGAAGCAATAGACAAGGCGGAAAAGCTTGTAAAATATTTTTGCAGACTGCCAGGGTATATTAAACACTGTAAAGTGCTTCCTGCTTTTTATGTCTTCCCTTTCTTTATGCTCATCTGCTTCACCTTTCTTAATTTTCGGCTCAATGCAAAGAGAATGCAACCAATTAGGGAAAAAGTCGGAGGTGATTTTTAAATGCATCTGTCTCCCCTGTTTTTTTTTTTTTTTTTACTCCTGCTTGCAGGGCTTATTCTGATACATTTAGCTGACATCTCCTGTCTTCTCTGCAGCTTCTACCCTGGTGAGAGTCTCCAGATCTAAGTGTTCAAACCCGGCTAGGAAGAGGCACCATTGTAAAAATGACTGAAGAGCCCATAAAAGAGATCCTGGGAGCCCCAAAGGCTCCCATGCCGGTGACACCAGAGAAGAACCCCAAGAGCGAAGTTGTGGTCCCCACAGTGCCCCTGGTCAGTGAGATTCAGCTGATGGCCGCGACAGGGGGTGCTGAGCTCTCCTGCTACCGCTGCATCATCCCCTTTGCCGTGGTCGTCTTCATCGCGGGCGTCGTGGTCACCGCGGTGGCGTATAGCTTCAATTCCCATGGCTCCATCATCTCCATCTTTGGCCTGGTTGTTCTGTCATCTGGACTTTTTTTATTAGCCTCCAGCGCCCTGTGCTGGAAGGTGAGACAAAGGAGCAAGAAGGCCAAGAGACGGGAGAGCCAGACAGCTCTCGTGGCAAACCAGAGAAGCTTGTTTGCTTGAGACCAAATGAGACCCACTGGGCTATGTGGCCCCAAAACCCTGCTCTGACTTTGTCAGCTGTTGCACCCAGAACCATCAAGGGAAACAGTTGACTTGGTATCGGAGCAGACGAGAAGAACCAGGGGTGGGTAGGGGGTAGAGAGGTTTCTCCTTTGAGAGAAATGACTTGTGTCTTCTTTAATGACAAACTTAACCCTAAGGGCTATTTCTAAGACTGAAAAATCAGCTTTCTCTTTATGTTAAACATTTTTTGGGGGGGTGGTGACTCATAGGAGGGGCCCAGCATTAGACAGCAATTGGTTCACCCTGGAAAGTAGCCGAGAAAAGATGAGAAAATAACAGGATAGTCCTGACACACCAGACCCCTGCCTCCAAAAGAAATAACCCATACTCTTTAGAAGTTGTATCATAAAAAGCTTTCTGCCAAGGGTCTAAATTTCTTTGGACTTTGCATACTTCCATGAAATTCTGTGATAATTTTTTTTTCAGTAAGTTGATTTTCTGGCATCTGTTTTTATTTTTCACTTTCAGTAACTCATCACTGGTGGTACTTTCTCTTGAAGAATAAACTAATGTTTTGTATGTTTTAACATTAGACTGTTTTAGGTGTTTGTAATGATGTATCAGAAGAAAAAAAAGTAAAAGTTATAGTTAATATAGGATGTTGGGGGCTAAATTAATATTGAAATAATCCAATATAGCACTTTTGATGATTTTTATATGAAAGGTAAATGTACATTTCATTCAAAATAATAAATACTCATTGCTGCTGAAACTTCTTAAATGGTTGTTTCTGTTGTAGCTATTTTTATTACAGTTCCAAATTGCTCATCTTCCCTTGTCTCATTTGCAAGTTCTCAACTGTACTTCTCTCAAATGGGCATGTTGCTCCTTCTTAACTTTAAGATTTTTATTTCTATCATATTTTTTCATTACTTTTAAATAATAGTATTAATTATGTTTACTGTATTCAAAAGGATTTCCCTGCCATTATAATGTTAGGAAATCAACACCCAAGGTCAGGAATTTTATAATGTCCCATTAAATGTGCATTATATTTTTATTGAATCAGTCATTAATTATTTGCTTTAACATGTTCCTAAGTACCAACTATGATGCCAGACATCATGTAGATTCTCAGGCTGCTTACTCAGTTAGTTCTAATGCAATGCAAATAAGGTTACTGCTTGAATTCTTCTGTGGACATTGAGCTGTTCCATAGCTAGGACTCTACCCCATGACTCCAGCCAGAAATGTTCCTCATTCAAGTAGTTCAAACCACATTAAACTAAAGATAGGCATGTGGCATTTCTTAAAACTTGGAAAGAGCAAAACAAAAAAAAAGCCTAGCATAGCACATTGGTTGACAGGTCTTTTATCCAGAAATTTAATTAAATATGGCAGGAGCCTTCTGGCACTGGCTACTCCCTGGTACTCATGTAGTTTGGGTAAGTGGAAGCACCTTAATGAATGTGGAGGGCAGATAGTGGCATGTGCAGATCAGCATTCCTCCCAACCAAAGGCAAGCGAGTGTATAGGACTGCACTCATTTCAATGCGAGATAGTCTGCTTTGACATTTCTCTTTTCTGCTCAAAGATATTCAAAGGCTCCCATTGTTTTGCGAAGAAATTTCTCAGGCAAGGTTCAAGGTTCTCCAGTCTGAACCAAATGGATGTCCCCGGCTTTCATTCTTATTTTAACCCCCAAAGGGACTTACAAGTTAGCCAGATGAGGCTATTCGCCATTCCTGCACTAGCCTCTGTTTTTCTTGCAGAGCTCTACATCTGTTCAAACTTGCTTTTCCCCTCTTTTATAATGCCATCCTTTCTTCCATCTCAATCTGCCCAAATCCCGCTTCTCATCAGCACCCCAGCTCAAACTCTACCTCTTCCTAGAAGCCTTCCCTTTTATCTGAAAGTGCCCTTTCATAAGTCATTATTTGTTTTCTGTTAGCACCTCTTATTTTCTATCGTGTTGGTGGTATGAGTGTTTCAACCAAATATCCTTGGAAGTGTGTGATATAACTTCTTTTTAACTCCAATGTGATGCCAAATATAATGTCTTGCACAGATTAGACACTCAATAAGTACCTAACTGAGGTGCTAAATGAACCATAGAATGAAAAATCAGAGAATAACTGGTTTATCCAAAATTACAGTTCATTCTAATCTCTTTAAAAATGGTTTAGTTCTCAACTCTCCCCCATCTAGCTCATCCCACTCTATCATGCCTCCACTGTAAGCACCCTGTCTAGGTGAGTACTTACTCCCTCTGTGCTTCTTTAGCCAGACCTGCCCTTCAAAGTACTTGGAAAGCGAACTCATTGATTATGTCTGGCCACCAGGGGGCCTCATGCTGCTACTTGAGTCCCCACATGAAATACAGTACTATGAAAAGACTTAAACTGTAAAGTCTGAAATAGGATCGCATCTCTCCTAGACGTGAGGAGTTGGAGGAGATTCTCTATTTAGCCCACCCCTACCCTGAGCCACTTCATACTGGCTATCTTGGGGTTCTCCTAGAACGGGAAGGACTTGCCTTGTCTAGGGAGCCTCCAGTCATGTCAAAAGGTACATACGTTGCAAAGCTGTAAGGCACAGAGACGGTCCTACACACCGTGAATCCCAGCTCCCACAAGGAGAATATACCCAGGCTTGAATTATGAATTATCATGACTATCTCACAGCATGTCTTTACCGACAAGGTCTGTCTTTACAAATGGTCCTGTTATGTACAAATAAGCAGGTGTTAAATGAATATATATACAACATGCATGCATAAACGTATTAAAAAGATAATCTAGCTTCACCCTGGAACATCAAAAACGAGCTGTATCACTTGTTAGGATTCCCCCTAAACCCACGCATCCCGGAGTACACAGAAACAACTTTTAACCTTACCCTGTGTAGCTGGGTTATGGCCCAGTGAGAACCACAGCTGCCTGGCGGCTTTGCTCTCCCCGCCTTACTGTGTTGGTTAATCTAGGGAATCTCACCACTGAAGGAGGTCATGTGGATAGTGCGGACGGCTAAGGCCAGAAGATAAACCCAGGAGAGCCAGTTCGCAAATCCTCAAACCTACTTATTCCACCCCCTGCACCCTCAAAGAGAGGGGGTTGGAGAGGGGGAGACAGGGGAGAGAGAGAGGATGGATGGATAGATAGATAGATAGATAGATAGATAGATAGATAGATAGATAGATAGATGATAGATAGATGACTATTAGATAGATGGTAGTTATCTTGATCTCTTGGGAAGTAATTATAGTTTTGAACTTGGAAGATCTTGATATTATAGCACTTGTAGTGTAACAGGACTCAACTGCACTTGTTATTACTCGATATTCTCCACCACACCCTGAGTCTAGTAGTATAAGTGTCCACTCTGCTTTTCAATTGAGAGAACTACAGTTCAGAGAGTTAAGTGACTTGTTCAACCAATGTCTCACAGAGAGCGAGGCCTAGCACTGGGACCAATAAGTTGACCACACATTATGGTTATCCCAGTGTCTCAGTGCTTTGGGGCTGCTATAACAAAGTACCACAGACTGGGTGGCTCATAAACAACAGAAATTCATTTTTCACTGTTCCAAAGGCTGGGAAGAACAAGATCAAGTTGCCAGCAGATTCGGTCTCTGCTGAAGGCCTGCTTTCTGGTTCATAAAATGAGGATATCTTGCAACGCCCTCACATGGCAGAAGAGGCAGAGAAGTTGTCTGGGGCGCCTTATAAGGGCACTAAACACCCCCAAACCCCAACCTCCAGATCCCATCACATTGGAGATTAGCTTTCAACATATACATTTGGGGGGACACAAACATTTAGTCTATAGCACCCAGTTTTATACTCAGCCATAACCTAAATCATTCCCAGAATGTCTCTTTAGGAAAGGGAGACAATATAGGTATTATAACACCTACTTTTGAAAAACCTTTATGAAAGTATAACATATTCATAGAAAAGCATACAGCTCAATTGCATTTCTACAAACAAACCTGTGGAACTAACACCTGGATGAAGAAATTCAATACGGCCAGCACCTAAAATCTCTTTGTATCCACCTTTCATCACTATCTCTCCGGGAAGAACCACAGTCTGGCCTCTAACACATAGAATAGTGTTGCCTGATTTTTAGCTTTATGTAAATGGAATCATATTGTGTATAGTCTTTGTCGCTGACTTTTGTGCAATAGTATGTTTCTAAGATACATCTATGTTATTGTATGTAGTTATAAATGGTTCATTCTCATTGCTGTATAGAATTCCATTGTCAAAATACACCATGATTTATTTATCCTGTCTACTGTTGACAGGCATTTGGATAGTTTCTAGATTAGAACTTTGGGTAGCCAACCTCTAAGATGGGCCCAGGGACCCCTGACTCCTGGTGTTTGCGTGCTTGTGTGGTCCCCTCCTGCACTGTCTCAGAGCTGGTTTGTGTGAGCAGTAAAGTATGGAAGAAGTGATGGTATGTTGCTTCTGAGATTAGGTTCTGAAAAGCATTTTTGCGTTTCTCTCTCTTGCTCTCACTCTCACTCTCTCCCTTTGTTCTGAGGGAAGCCACCTGCCATGTCATGAGAACACCCAGGCAATTCTAGAGAGATCCATGCGGTGAGTAACTGAAGTCTCTGGCCAACAATCAGAGAAGAACTGAGATCTACCAGCAACTACTCGAGTGAGCTTGGAGGCGGATCTTCCTCCAGTGGGATCTTCCAATGATGGCGTTCCCTGCCGATGGCTTGACCGAAACCTCATGAGAGACCACCACCACCACCCCTCCCACCCCTCCCTGCCCAGCCAGGGTTGCATTGTGACTTTACGGGACCTAGGAACGTTTATCTTCATGAGTCCCTTCCTCCATTCCAAAAAAAAAAAAAAAGGATGTGTCTCACCCCCTAAAAGGAGGAAATCGTACTGACAAGTATTGTGGGCCCTGGACACTGTGCCTACCACATCTAATGGATGAACTGGCCCCGAGCACCCAGCTAAGTTACTCCCAGATTCCTGACCCTCAGAAACCATGAGATGATAAATGTTTGTTGTTTTAAGTTGCTAAGTTTGGGGGTAATTTGTTTTGTGGCGATAGGTAGCTAATATTGTACTACTGTAAAATTTCTTCTACATGAATTTTGGTGTATGTATGTGCACATTTCTGTTAAAGATAGACCTAGGTGTGGAATTCCTGGATTAAAGGATAGGTATGAGTTCAGCTTTATTGCCAGACACTTTTCAAAAATAGCAGAATCAATTTACTCTCGACCAGCACGAGAAGAGAGCCTGGATGTGCTACATCTTCATCTTTTTCATTTCAGTCATTCTGGTGGGTAAAACTCCTGCTTTTAAAGTATTGAGAGAGGAGATGTAGCCCTGAAACATGGGCTCTGACCAGGCAGTGAAGGCTAGAGACGAAACCAGGATTTAGAGTGGAAAAATCAGAGTTAGATTTGGGCTTTGAGGGAGCAAAGCAGCAAAAGGGAATTTTCAGCGAAGTGCTCTAAAAATCAGGAAACCAGCTTAGAGACAGGGAGTTTAATTTATAGTCCCAGCAGCAGCATTTACCAAGCATCCACTATGCTCCAAACATCATACTCTGGAATATCTCATTTGATTCTCACAATAATCCAGTGAAGTTGATACTATCACTGCCTTCATTTTGCAGATGAGGAAACTGAGACACTGATGAAGCCAACTAATTGAGATCCCACAGCTAGTAAAGAGTAGGGCCTGAGTTCAAAATCCAGAAGCCACTCACTTAACCACTAGCCCTACCCTGCCTGGTACACGGTAATCTTTCAGTGCTTGATTCTTGAATAAAAGTCCCAAGTAGAAGCTGAGTGACATGGGGTCAGGTGTCTCAGCTAAAGAGTGCAACAGTTTTTGAGAAACCAGGACTAAAATTGGAGATGATTACTGAATCATTTGCCATCGGTAGCCAGGCCTTCTTCTAATCACCTCCATATATTTGGAGACTTTTACAAATATCAAGGCATGGTCTCCTGCTAGTGGACATGGGACTCAGGACCCCAGCCACATCTTCTGTCACCAAAGCTGCTGCT